GACCACACATAAGCGAGAAGCATTCCTCATTTTCAGCTTCCTAGCTTTTCTGTTTCAAAAAAAAAAATCCCGGGTTAAAACCCGCGGACAAAATGTACGCGGAACACACACACACGGGGTCTCGATAATATGCATTGTTTTTCAGCAGCTGCTTGTCTTTATCTCATATTTGGGGCGTTTAATTTTGATACTCGTCGTTCAGAATGGCTGTTTTAGCTCTAAATGAGGAAAGCCATTTCTTTACAGTGGCGTTTGAAATGTATTCTTTACAGTTAGTTCACTGTTCGAATTCACACTCTAAATTGTTCGTGCGATTTAACTGACCGCTTGAAGAAGATGACCTCTTACCGAAGGATTTTTATTTCTGGCTTACAATTATGACTTCTTTGATTAGGTGCGATTGCTTTTTTACTTTTTTTATGGATGCCACAATGCCAGGAACAACGAAGAACGATTTTCACTTAATCGCTGTCTCGAGAACTAAAATACCCTCTTTGTTTGCAGCTGCGCCATATTGGCCGGATGGTCCACCTCCAAACAAACGCACAAGCGAAGGTGAAAACGTGAGCTTCGATTGTATCGCTTATGGAAAACCAGTACCCGTGATTACATTTTATAAAAATGGTGTTGGTAAGTAAGCATATCAGGATTGAACTTACTAATCAACAAGAGTAAGAGTATATCAGAGTAAGAAAGATAGCGGGGCTCGTGTTCTGAAGCTGTTCACTGCTAAATTTTTGCCACAACCAACCAATTCACCATCCACACCGAGAAGTACCGGCAAAAAATCGGACTGTTTTCCAGAACTGCTTGTAGCCGATGACAGCTTCTTCATTTTTCTGCTCTCTCAGCAACACAGCCCCGAACTAAATGTTGCTCAAAGGATCTGAGCAATGTTATCTGGGAATTATCCCAAAATTTAAGCTAAGGAACGAAGCACAGCCACAGATCGCATGCCTTATATGGATACTTCTTGTGTCATATGGCTCTATCCTCTTTAATATCCCAGTGATACCTAGCCAAACAACCTCAATTTATCAAAAAATCTGTACGGTTTAACTCAGTTTATCCAAAAATCTGTGTGATTTAACTCACTTTATACAGTTTCTCCCATCAATCTTTATTTAATGTTGTCGCACCATATCCTACTTGCCATTTTATTAACTTTGCAATTTGTTGTTACGTGGTTAGGAAGAAAGACTCCGAAGCATTCTTCGGTCCCTTAACTCTCATTGCCACATTCATTGTGTACCCCTTCGCTTTTGTCAGTGGTTGCATTTCACATCCGTGCAGTATTGCTTCTAACATGTTGTAGCCGAAAAGTGGGCATAATTCCCTCCGTTCGACCTCTGTAGAAGTCAAAGATGCTGTGATATGTACTGATTTCTGTGCTGAGGAAAAGTCCCAGTCCTTGGTGATTTCCATGTTTGCTTTCTTGTCTAGCCCTCTTATGTTTTTTTTTGGCCAGCAGTGGTTTCTGTTCGAGTATACACCAAAGTTGGGTGAGCTCGGCTTTTTTGCAAGCTGAAAAAGTTCGCTAGCACATTAAGTGCCGTTGTTAGTATTCTGTCACCGTTCAGTTAGCTTTCTCATTTTGTCCACTTCATCTTCCCATCCCTTTATCCGGTCTGTTTGCACCTAACTGTCGTGTACCGTACTTCCATTCGTTCATAAATGGAAGTCCCGCCCTGTTTTTTTGGTAAAAAAGAGCAGAAAAAAGGAGATGCTGGAACTGCAATGTGTTTTTGCATTCAGAGTAGCTCAAGTCAGCTTCTGTTTTGTCTTTTTCTGTTCCCCCGTCCAACCGTCGTCCTTTTCCCTGGCCTTAACCAAGCTTCGCGTTGGGTATTTTCCGCCGCGCATTCTTAATCTTCACTTCCGTTGTAACTCTGTTTCTGTTGTTGGAGCTGTCAGAGTTTATCTTTCCCAATTTGCTACCAGTCCAGCTATTGCGTTGATCTGGTTCGATTTCTGTATAACAAGTTCTTTCATCTGTATTACATTTAGACGCCTTGATGAAGACCTTAGCCTGAGTGATTTTTACGGGGGTCTAAATGAGTTTATTCGAAACAGATGTAAGCCGATACAGGTGTAAATTGATTGTCAACGAGAGAACTCACCCAAATTTGTTTTCGAAGAACATTTCCTCCAGCCGATAAGCCTGATTCCTAGCGTTTATGCTGTTCTGAGAACGTCTGCACCATCATTTTAAGTATAACTGAGCTTCGTAATTCGACTTGCTTCACATACTTCGAGAACACCTCCGTGATGTCTTTGTACTTTCCGGCGAAAGAGACTGGCGAGGTAATCTGTCTGTCGATGGTAGTGTAGTTGTAGTTGTTATTTGGAAGGTGAAGTTGTCTCGCATTTGCGGCCTGAATACACCTGAAATTCTCAGAAACACGTCTTTTTTTGCACTGTTCAATTATTGAGATTAATTTGCAGTATCACCCGAAGACATGCATTATAATTATGTGTTTGCTTAGAGATGAAACCGAAGCCTGGTGACGCCGCTAGCAGAAACTGGGTGATCACAGGCAATACTCTAACATTATACAATGTGAAGAAGGGTCTTGCTGGAAGTGGTGATAATGCTGTGTATCAGTGCAAGGCTGAAAACAAGCATGGATATTTGTGGGCCAATTTTTACCTCAATCTTCTTGGTTAGTCAAATATTATTTTATAACGCAGTTAAATCTAGTTATTTCTGCACAACTATTCTAATTCGCGTACGGCTGCAGCGAAAGAATTTCGCACTTCAATCTCTTTTGATTTGTTTTGTTTAGATGAGCCAGTGAAACAGCAAAAAGCCGGAAAAGTGATTGCCGTGCGCTATCCGGTTATTTTAACAACACTTCAGCTTATGCCTTTCTTCCAGGATGAAATTTGCGCAGATTGTTTTCAGCATTTGAGCCGCAACTTCTTTCTGATCCTGGCGAAGTTGAGGCCGTTATTGGTCAAAAGGTCACATTGGCGTGCAAATTTTTTGCGTCACCGAACGTGAATATAACTTGGGAAAGTGTTGTGCTGCCTGGGATCACCCATCACATAACGCCGGCGGATGCCGAAGGCGAGGGCAAGCTTATCATCGACGGTTTGTCCGTTATGCATTTTGTGTCATTCAGAATAAGAACTCACGAAAAGTCGTCCACTGGGACAGCAACATTCTTCTTGCTTTACCTCTTTGACCCAACGATACGCTTGCAGGAAAGAAGATGTGAAAAACGAATCCTTATCCCTTACAGTACTTGCTGTGTCTATCATGGGTGTGCACTCACGCATTTATTTTAAATTCACTGCTTTCCGAAAAAATTGCCTGGGCCACCGGTGTTGTATTACTTTGTAAAAAGACTTGATAGCTCCTGGGAAGTCAGAAGGAATTTAAGGAGCGTTTCTTCTTTTGATTCTGTTTTGTATGTGAAATCTGTGATTCCTAGCTGCAGCAGTTCCTGACGTGAAAGTAAGCTTTGCATCAAATCTTACGTCCCACAGACCTCTCGCGGTTTAAGGAGCATAGTAATAATCAAATTTGGCACATCGATATGCTAAAAACTTTAGAATAGTAAATAACTTCAGTCGTATCGCGTAGTGTTTTGCATGGGAAAGCGGCGGAATTCAGAGGAATGTTTAATTCTGAAAACAAATTATTCTCAGTTATGACGAATTTAGATTTGGATTAAAAAAAAAAAACGAAATACATATAGTATTACAAGTGTCAATTGTTGCTTCTATTATACGTTTTGTGCTGTGCAACAGCTGCACAGCATATTGTCACGGGGTTGTCTGTGTGTGTGT